CAACTCCTTGAACATGGCAATACTTTGCTGAAATTTTCCCTACCTCGAAGGAGAAAGAACGAAGTAAGTAGTTTCTCCGCATTCGAATTGTCATGAATTAAATTAGAGAAAGAAGGAACCCTCACCGAAGCATGTAAATTTGATAGTCAAATTACTTTCGAAACAGAAATAATTGGGTGCTTCTATGGTATGACCTACAAAATGTTTATTAATTATAACAGTAAGATGAGGAGGTGATATGATTAACCTTGAGCACAAATCAGGAAGACTTCCATATACAAAACTGATAATAGTCGTATAATGTCTGTTTGATTAACAGTCAAAATAAACATGTCAGTCTGTGTTTTTTTCTGTTCTCTTTCAAAAAAGTGAATGACAGACGTGAATGTACTTTAAACAAGTCATATATCAGATAGTTTATAATCACTTGTTGTGATATGTAAAGCTATAGTGATTTTTTCTTTCTCTCCTGATGAAAATGAAAATGAAAATCTTTGACTGATTCATATACTTGTATATTTTTCGGACAGTTATTTGCAGTTCCGTCAATAAGACATCCATTTTTCATTTTACTAGTAAACTGATTCTCCATGGAATCTTATTCTAAACTCAATTAAAATATGCGTTTGGTTCTTTCCATCATTTTCTATCGAGTGGTATTTGAAGCAAATCTTAATTACTAAAGTTAGGGAACGGTATCCAAAATCCAATAAAAGCAACATATTGTCTTTCGAACTGGCATGGCTAAATACGTGAGTCGTTTTGAAGACAAAATGTATGTACTTAAAAGAATTGCACTAGCACATATTTTTGTAAGACTTTGATTGTCTAGATCCTGGTTCTTTGGACACTATTTTCACTATTTATATATGTAAAACTACGCAAACATGCTTAGATACAGAACGATATTTATGAACTTTTTTTATAGCTCTTTCCAACTTAAATCTTGATCAAACATCATGATTTTTTTCTTTCGATACAGAGGAATATGCTTTAAAGAATAAACTACTTGAAAATTATCACATTACTCTAATAAACAGTGATTATGTTCTTTTTTTTAATGTCTCACTTCTGTACGAACAGAATTGAGACAAAAGTGAGACATTGAAGAAAAGAACACAATCACAAGATTTGATTACTGTTTATTATTATCTCTTGCACCCTGTTAGAAAGAACGTGCTTAATTCCACAAGAAATGATACTTTTTAACAAGCTTTTAAACAAGTGTTTTATCATTAGTAATAAATCGAAAATCAGTTTGGAAGCTGTGCTTGAAAGTCGGTGGTGTTGTACGTTTTTAGTATTTCTGTAATCACTTTTTTACTTTGACCCTGTAGCGCATATTTGACTATGGTTTTGTAGTGAATTAAAAGGCGAATGTTCCGAAAAGAAATTGCCTTCTTGGACGACGAGAATTGAAAGACTTATTGCATAAATACTGAAAGAATCGTTCTTTATGCACGACCCGTTATATGTGCATCGACCGACGACTTAATGAACAATAGACAGAATGCTTAGTGAAAAATTTGATATTTTAGAGTAAGAGGCAGAGATCTATACTAACAGCAAGAGAAATATGATGAAAATAAACTGAATTGCACCTAAATCGGGATCAGCACAGAGTTGATAATGTAATTTAATGTCTAAATATTTCGACAAGATAACGTGCCTCACACCGTCTCTTGACTATGGTTGGTTGGGATTACAATAAAAAAAAATGAGCTGCACTGCACATGTATTACGTAGAAATAGGGTGATACATTTACCATCCCATAACTGTACTTCATGTACAGAACTATTTAAAATCATTATGATTTCACCCTCGGATTTCCGATGAGTCCCACCCAAGCAGAAAAAAAATCATGAAGCGGGGGTTTGCAGCTACCTGATCAAATTTTTAACCCATCGAAGCTCGCTTAAGTGACCTGAAGCTAGCTGATGTGTCTGAATTCAACGCTAATCGCTCAATTAAGCGCCCACTGGATCGGCCAATTACAGCTAGCCAGTGGCCACTTGCTCGGCGCAGCTAGCTATTTGACCCAAAAAATTTACTATTAAGCGGGCGCTTGAGCTATTTGATAAGCTAGATTTCCTTGCGCACTCTTTTCTGCCTGGGCAGAACTGACACCCGGTGACTCTTGGTAGCCTTAAAGACGGATGGACAATAGATAATCGACCATGCTGAGTCTCGTGGCAGTATTTGTTTTTAGAAACCTCTAGAAAAGCGAGTTTTACGAAAATTAGCGTTTTCAGGCTGTTGTAACCTAATATTAAAAAATTCACTATTCACTCAAAAAAGATCACAACGGGTTCAAAGCTTCAGAATGCAGCGTATTTAACTTATTCTATATCTTGTTTATAGAAGATCGCGAAATGAATTTCAAAAACCATAAGGTCTTCCAAAACGTTTTCTAGAACACCTATTAACAAAAATGTGTTTTTCGATCTTATAACCACGTTTATCGGACAACAGTAATCGCATCCCGGCGTTTTACGCTGATGTCTGAGTGAATTGGGAATTTTTTAATATTGAATGAAAACAGCCTGAAAACGCTAATTTTCGTAAAACTGGCTTTTCAGCACGTTTCTAAAAACAAATATTACCAAGAGACTCAGCATGGTCGATTATCTAAAGAAAATTTGTCACTCAAGCTCTTCCAACATCTGGAGTAGATCGACTTGGCCAAGACCTTGAGTGCCAGATTCAACAATTCAAGATCTTAACTTCCTGGTGTTTTTTCCAAGATCTTATGACATTCTTAACCCAAGATCTTGGGTACAAGAAGTTTAACGAAGTTATTCTAAGTAGAAATAGAAAGAGTTAGAAAGGGTTTCAGACTGAAATTATAATTATAGAGTTATATTCTTCAGGAAACTTTACGGTTGAAAGAAATTTTATTTTTTTTATTGAGTCGGATTCCGGCTGAAAAGTTATTATCCCCACAGTATTCTTTTGACAAAGTCCCTTTCAGACTAACAGAGTCATGCTACATAACTTCATTTTCATTCAATTTATTTTTAACGCATTTGTTGATCTCTTCGTCAAAAAAACATTTTTCTTGATTAAATACATAAAATTACAAATTAAAAACGAAAGTTTGTGTTCTTTTTCTTTTTATATGTCAATATTTGCCACACGTTTAACTAATTCATCAAAATCATAATGTATTTTTTCTTTTTTATTATAGTGACATCGTCTCGTTTTCGTTGTTGTATCTACACTTGTATTGCTTTCAGTTGGATCTTGTTTAATAAGATCAGGTGTCAATAGCATAACGCAATGCGCAAACCAGTGATATGGTTTAACCAACTGGCAACCTTCATTCTTTAACTAAAGACACATAAAACGCTAGGAATATAGAATTTCTCTAAGTGAATCGTTTTGCTTACTTGGGCAGCTAAAGCGCGATCAGCTGTTACTACAATTGTATGTTCATTTTTACCATGATTCTGTTTAGCTAAATCAACTAGCATATCATCTGTTGTTTTATATTTTGGTTGTGCACTTTGTATATTGACAGTGCCAATCGTTTCGACTTGTTTTGTTGAATCGTATATTAGATTAACATGCGGAATTTGTAATTTTTCATTCCATGCCGAAGCTATTTGTCCGATTATCTGTTCTGTTTTTTTTCCATGACGATTTAAACATAAACGACGTAGTGAGTCAATAACAAACATCATATTGTTACCATCTAGATAAACTTGTTCTATATTTGATGGCCAATCCTGTTTGGATATAATGGACAAATAAGCTTGTTGCGTTTCATTCAATAATTCACGTTTCTGAATTTAGTAAAGTTGAGTTAGTTTTATACACGCAACTCACAACTATCAGTACTGTTCTTTATGGTTTATAGACAGTCGTCTCTAGAGATCAATACGAACCAAATGAAAGATTCACAAGATCAATGGCACTACAAGTGTACCCTTCAAGGCTGAAGCGAGAAGAAGGTCTACGAAAGGGGCTGAAACTTTACTCTTTTGAATTCATAGTTATGTATAGAACATCAAACAACTAAAGTAAAGCTTTCATGGATTACAAAGGTCCTAGGTGGAACAAAAGGTTTTTGTCAAATTTCACTAATCTGATGTGAAATTTTTTTATCAGAGCAGCGATATTGACAGCTCTATTTCTTTAAAACTAAAAGAGATGTTTTTCTGAAGAATATATTGATGTACCGAGTTATAAGTCACTTAAAGTTTCATTTATTCAAACTGGACGTAAAAGTGAGAAAATTTTGTCTAAACTTTAAAAATAGATTCCTAATTAACACATTCATTTGAACACATTCATCATTTTCTTCCTAATTAACACATTACGAATAGTGTACATATTCTGTATATAATATTTTGTATATTTTGGATCATCT